CCAACCTCAGCCATCCTGGGATTGTGTGCCCTGGGATCTCTAGAGGTCCCTTCCAACCTCAACCATCCTGGGATTCTGTGCGCTGGGGTCTCTAGAGGTCCCTTCCAACCTCAACCATCCTGGGATTCTGTGATACGGACAACCGGAGCCGTCGCTGAGGAAGAGGAGGCCGCAGCTTTTGGAGCTCACACCCGATGACTCCAGAGAGCAGCTTGGGGCCCTTCCTAGTCCCGCTGCCCCAAGCTCTGTAAGGCCCGGCTTTGGTGGGCGCCAAGGGGCTGTCCCAGCCCCGGGATTGTCGGGCCTCGCGCCCCCACAAACGAGCTCCATCCGCCTTCGTACAAAACTGCTTTAATGGCAGAACAGCCCCCAAACGGGACGGGTGGTGTTTCCCGTGCCAGCCCAAAGCCTCCCCGCGGGCCGGAGTCCTTCCCGGCCTGGTGCCGGTCCAGCGTGGCACCTTCCCAGGGATGGGTCCTCCTCAGGTGCGCGCGGAAACCTCCTCCAGGAGCCTCCGCTGAGGACCGTTTCCCTTCCACCCGCACACGGATGCAGGAAAGGCCTCGAGGAAGAGCTCGGCCGTGAAGGTTGAGGAGGGCTCCCCTCGTCGCCTCGTTCCCGGCACAGGCGGCAGCGAGAGCCCGGACACCTCTCTGGGACACGGGATGTCCCCCAAGGGCCCGGCCTCAGCAGCCGCTGGGTGACGGTGCGAAGAAGTACACGGCCAGGAGGATGCAGTAGACCATCACCAGCACGGTGCCTAGGGGAAAGAGCGGCCTGGAAGGGTCCTGCTCCGTGCTGGAGCAGGACGGGAGGTGGTGGTGAAGCCACTCCGGACACTTGGGTCAGTGTCCCTGAGGAAACACGTGTTCTTCTGCCCAGCCTCAGGAAAAGGGCCATAATTCCCTCCTAAGAAGGAATGGGAGGGATTCCTCCTTGGAGCTGCTCCCTTTTCCCACGCCAAGCCCAACCCTGCTTCTGTGTTTGGTTGCAGGGTGGTAGCCCTGGCTTGACATCACCTTGAAGGGTCACCAGGAGCCCAGGAATGGCCCAAGTCACCACAGGCCAGAGGCTACAGTGAAGGGTGGCTCCAGGGCTGTCTCCCTGGGTCCTTGTAGGGAATCTGGGCACATCCTGAGCCCTAGAGCAGCCTCTGGCCTGGTCCGTACCTTGGAAGTAGTCACACTTGCCATCCATGAAGATGTAGTTCATGAGAACCACGCTGAACATGCTGGCGTAGACGTGCAAGTCACTGAAGACCAGGGTGAAGTTGGTGGGCTGCGAGGCAGAGAAGAGCTGCCTTTACACCCAACCGGAGACTCACACGTCACCTCTCGGAGCTCCCCTCCACAACATGGCCCTCAGGATGCCACCACAGCCGTCAGGACACCATGACAGGGCCAGCTCCAGCCCAGGGAGCAGATATCTGAGCCCACTTCCCCTTCCAAACTGTACTGGGTGCCGAGGCAGCAGCAGGGAGGACAGGACGGCGGCTGTGCCTGGCGGGTCCCCCCAGCGCCCAGGGCTCTCCTGGGCACCACTTACGTAGAAGATGGTGAAGAGCACCAGGATGGGGATCTGCAGCATGCACACCTGGACAGCGATGCAGTTCCCGATCTCGATGCTGGGGAGGAGAGAGCACCAAGGATGGCACCAGGGCGAGACCAGAGCCCCTGGGGACGTGGGGGACATGGTCCCACCAGAGCATCTTAGCTTTCCCTCTATTGCAGCTGTTCCAAAGCTGGGTTTGAAGCACCTGCAGTGCCAGTCCCGCTAGGACAGCTCAGCCCAGGGCAAGGACACGGTTGCCCTTGAGATCTAGAGGAGCAGAACGAGTTTCTGGCCCCGTTTTCCCATGATTTTCAAGTCTACTTGTGGCCAAGCCCTGGTTCATAACTGCTGCAGTGGAGCCAAGCAAGGGAAACCTGGGCCCTGGTGCTGCACACCAGGACACGGGGACCGTCCCCGCTGGGGCCGGACCTCCCAGGGCCACCTCACCTCAAGCTCAGGTTGTTCTGCAGAGCGAACTGGATGCCGTTGACGATCTCGGGCAGCTCGGGCACCATGGCCAGCACGGTGACCCCAATGAAGTACTGCCGAGGAAGGCAGAGGCCTCAGCACTCCTCACCACGCCATCAACCACGGTGGCCCTTGGCCAAGGTGGCCTCCTGGCCCCATGGGGCATGTGTGGGCCCCTCCGCGCTCACCTGGGAGATGGTGGAGTTGGTGAGGATGGGGCTGATGTGCTCCGTGGCCAGGTCGGCGCAGGCCGACATGCAGAGCGTGGACAGCAGGAGGATGAGCAGGGCCCTCCACCGAGACCAGTGCACCACGGCGCTGTGGTGGTGGCCGGGCACTGGGGGCGAGAGGCCGGGACGCGGTGAGGAAGCCCCCCGTGGGGCTCCTCGCGGGTCGGCGAGGGGAGCGGGGGCCGCGGGCGGGCTGGCGCTCACTGTGGCAGTCGCTGATGTGGATGTCATAGATGTGCGAGTGAGTTTTCAGGGTGAAGAAGAGGCCGATGAGGTAGGCCGTGGGGAGCAGCAGGGACACCGTGTACACCAGGGGCCTGCGGGACACGGCCCTCAGCCCCACGGCGGAGCCCCTTGGAGGCCACGGGGGCTCCTCCAACCCCCTCGCGGCGCTGGGCACACCGGTGGCCCTTCCATGATGGAGGCCAATGGGCACATCCCAGTCCAACCTTGGGACTAGATGGACACGGCAGTGACAGGGACACCCAGGCAGCACCCCGAGGAGCCATGAGGCAACCCAATGAGATCCAACCCAACAGCGGGAGCGAGGCCACCCCGGGTGACACTCACTGGACGTGGCTGTAGTAGAGGGTGCCGTTGCTGTGCATCTGCAAGAGGGAGACCAGCCACAGCGTGAGCATCGTGGCCATGGCCCGGGCACCTGCAGCTGGCAAGGAGCCCCCATGGGCTAGAAAGCCCCCTCGTGATGGCCATGACGTGGGTGCCAACCGGACGCGCTCACCAAGTCGAAGTGGCAGCTGTGGCAGAGGTAGCGGCCCAGCGGGTTCTGGGTGACGTTGTGGCACTCGCCGCACACCAACTTCCCGTACACCTTGGAGAAGAGCGTCGGGGCGAAGACCCCTGCGCGTGGGAAAGGTGGTGGGGGGCGCGTGGCCATGGAATGGGCCGCCCTTCCTCCCCACCATCACCATCACCACTCACCTCCCACGGAGAGAAAAAGCAGGGCCGAGCTGACGCCCGCCGAGCGGCTGTTGAACCTCTGCTCCTGGTGCCGGATGCCTCCGATGACCATGCACAAGCCCTGTGGGACACGGGCGCCATGAGCACCTCCCCAGTACGGGGCTCCTCGCCGCCGCGCGCAGGGGACGGGGCTCCTGCCCACCGGGACAAGGAGGACGCAGCCCACCAAGGTGCCCGTCAGCGCCGCCTTGACGATCTCCTCGTAGCACTTGTTGCCCTCGCGGGCGCCCTTGATGAGCGCCGTGATGTAGAAGGTGAGCTCCGTGATGGAGCCGAAGGTGGCGTTCACCACTGCCCCCACCGCGAAGTTGCTCTGCGCCGAGATGCTGCAGGCACAGCAAGAGGGTCATTATGGTTGGGATAGACCTTCAAGACCATCAGGTCCAACCATAAAGCCATCCTCACCCTGCCTGCTAAGCCACGTCCCTAAGCGTCCCATCTACACTTGAGCACTTCAGGGATGGTGGCTCCAGCACTCCCCTGGGCAGCCTGTTCCACGCTTCACCACTCTTTCCATGGAGAAATTCTTCCTAATATCCAACCTGAACCTCCCCTGGTGCAGCTTGAGGCCATTTCCTCTTCTCCTATCCGTAGTCATTTTGGAGATTGACCCTTGTCTCACTGCAACCTCCCTTCGGGTAGGTGTAGAGATCAACAAGGTGTCTCCCGGACCTCCTCTTCTCCACACTAAATAACCCAGCTCCCTCAGATGCTCCTCGTTAGGTCTGTGCTCCAGCCCCTTCTCCAGCTTCGCTGCTCTCCTTTGGACACACTCCAACACCTCCACGTCCTTGTAGTGAGGGACCCAAAACTGAACACACTATTCGAGGTGCGGCCTCACCAGCGCCAAGTACAGGGGGACAATCACGTCCCTGGTCCTGCTGGCTTCACTGTTCCTGATACCAGCTAGAAGTCCATTGGCCTTCTTGGCCACCTGGGCCCAGTGCTGGCTCATGTTCAGTTGGCTCTAACCAACATCCAACCCCAGAGAGCAGCGCTAGACGGGGTTGTCGTGACCCAAGTGCAGGACCTGGCCTTGTTGAACCTCATACACTTAGTCTCAGTCCGTGGATCCAGCCTGTCCAGATCCCTCTGAGGAGCTTTCCTACCTTCAAGCAGATCAGCTTTCCCTCTCAGTTTGGTATCATTCAAGATACTGAATGACATACACTCAGTTCTTCAAGATACTGAAGAGGACGGGCCCAACACTGACCCCTGGGGAAGCACCACTCGTGACCAGCTGGATTTAACCAATCCACCAGCTGGATTTAACTCCATTCACCACCACTCTCTGGGCCCAGCCATCCAGCCAGCTCCTCACCCATCAGGGTCCTGCACTTGGGGAGGAATAACCCTGTACACCAGTACAGATTAGGGGTGGACCTGCTGGAGAGCAGTCCCGCAGAGAGGGACCTGGGTGTCATGGTGGATGACAAGTTGACCATGAGACAGCAGTGTGCCCTGGTGGCCAAGAAGGCCAACGGGATCCTGGGGTGCATTAAGAAAAGCATCTCCAGCAGGTCGAGGGAAGTG